CTAGTTTAGTACTTATAATTCATGTGCCACGTATATTATTATAATTTATCATTATAGTCCCTTCATCGTAAAAAATAATGATGATCCATTTAAAAATATTAGATATTTAACTTGTTATGTTTAATGCGATCAATTGTGAACATCATTATAACTTAATGTTCAGACCTTTTATTGATAAAGTATTAATTAAATGTTTTAAGATATATAGGTACATAATAGATAATGTTATGTRTTTTATTAACAAATTAACATTACGTGTAAATAGTCATTTAAAATTAAAATAGGTTCATCACACAATGGGTATTACATAAAAACCTTATGTAATCTTTATTTWTATATATATATTTACGTTAAATTTAAATGATGATTCTTTTTTAGTGTTTTGTTACTGTAAACACTATTTTTTATATTCCATTTTTCATTATTTAGATTACTGAAGTATCATCAAACAATAATAATATAACTTAATATTAGTCAATGTTTTATCAGTGCTTAACTTTATTGCAGTCTATTATTTATTTTAGCTGTATATTAGTTTTTTTTGTTGCCGAATAAATRCAATGTTATCTATTAACTAATTTGTTATATAATGTTAATTATAATTTTATATTACGTATTCTAATTCTAAATATTATTATTTTGTAGAAACAATATTTAAAACAAAAATAAACTAATAATTGTGTCGTAGTTCTGTGAGTTCAGAGTTAAATTACATAGATTAGGGTGTCTCAAAATGATCCGAAAAAAATATGCTAATTAAACATATGACAAAAATTATTTATATTATATGATAAGTAAATAATTTGAGAGATATACTCATATTAGCAAATTCTCAAAAATCATATTTTTTAAAATTGTATTATGTTCCAAATTAATTTAACCTAAAAAATAAGCTACTTAACTTAGATAAATCTTTTTACCATCAAAATTTTTCTTATAATCAGATTCTCAAAAAGTCTATTTTGGATTCATCATTTCATCCAAAAAATGTTATATCAATTTTTTAATTTTTTATTCATTAAAAAAAAATTATACTAAAAATGTCTATGAATTATATAGAAAAAAAAATTTTTAATATTGAATACAATACTTACAAAACTTATTCTATGTGTCAGATCATCGTGAG